GAAATGCCCGCTGAATTTTCTCAGCTTTTTTGGTTATGAACTAGGAATCAACGATTTAGTATTTCAGTTAGTAAAGAGCAAACAGGTGACCGACCTTTAGTATCACTGCATAATTCGACTTTACGTTGACTCAATAACTAAGATAAAGATGGCTTGTCAAGACGACAAGCATGTGTAAATGGAAACAAATCAATTAGAGGCTATGTAGACATAAATTGTTTTCTATCGTGTGAAGAAGCGTTGTTCCCTCATAACCGTTGTAGCCATATCATTAATGTAAATAAACTAGTTGAAAAAGTAGATAGTCCGCTAAGCGTCGTGCGCATGCAAGCACACGTTGCAAAGAAATACTAATAAATGGCGGACGCCTGGTTTTTTTTTATCTGCTTTCACATAATTGCCCTAGACGAGTTTATTTGGATCCATATTAAAATATAATATTAAACCCAAAAAAATGTATCATACTTTTATAAATACGATGTTCTGCGACGTTTCCTGGTCGGGCTATTTGAATAAAGCGATCGCTAATAACTGTTAAGACAATGTTCGCATGTACAAATATTTATTGCCACCTTTAGTAAGGAAAATCTACCATTCATCACAGGACATGCTTACTTAGCTGTTCGAGACATCCGTTACCGATTGATCATCAAAGTTAAAAAAAAATCGATTGTAGTTTGGCTAAGGTAAGTTGCGTTTAAATGTATATGGCATGTTGGCTGTATGGGATGAGCCGGATGCAAATAATTCAACGTCGGCCCAAGGTGTACTTTTTATTTCCTTGTCGATCTCACATTATGCCTATTGGGTATCAGTCATACTGGGTTAAGTCCATTCATTAACACAACAATATGTGTTTTGTCACTTTAAGCTTGTACGAAATGTTTATCGCCGCGGAGTGAGTGTCATGATTACGCTGATAGGAAGACTCACTCAGATTACGTTTTTTGTAGAGGCTCACAACGCGCAGCGATTCCTTCGAAACTGCTGCCTTCTTCCGGAACCCTATGTGTATATAACAGGACTACCGACGTCTACATTTTCACATAGAGTATGCAACCCATAGATCCGAGCACATTGGCGTACGCAGTCATGTTTGATACGGCTTAGAACGAAGGGAAAAACGTATGGGATAAAAAATGACTGAACGCCACGGGGAAGCACAAGGACACAAAGCTGAGTCTGGACCCATCGACCCGCTCCGAGTGAAAAAAACATAGGCAGATCTTGTCGTCGGCGCTGAAGAAGTCAAACGCCGTGTACATAGCGAACACGTTGAAGGGGCATTGAGAGAAAAATAAACGAGAGGACCTCTGACATACTTCAGATAACTCTCAAGGAAAAGGGTTGATAAACCTCAGCTTATCAACAGTTTATCTCAACGCTGTTTACTTGATGCCAGACAGAACTTGCATATGGTGAGCAGCATGGATATTGAGAACAACAGCGAAACGTATCATCAACGATTATAACATCCTTATTGACCGTTGTACTGCCGTAATAGTAGATAAATTTTCGTCATTTAGACATGACTCGCTATGTTATGTAAATTTTCTAACTTTAATTTGCCCTCGTACGATCATTATTTTCTAAATATGTATATATTTTCTTCGAAGATAGATTTCTTGTAAATGGCAATTTCCATCGGTTTTTTAATCCAGTTGCAATTAACTTTTGGTGACAGCGTGGAAACGTCCTGAAGTTTCATTTCACATCCTGTTACTAGGAGCACCAGGTCGCGGAAACAAGTTACTACTGCGAAAACTGGTAGGAAGTCTAGAAGAAAAACACTCGCTTGTATTTTAACGCTAGATGCATTATACGTGAACTACATGTAAAATAAATATATTTTTACTGAAATTGTATAGTGAACCAGAAAATAGAACTTTCATGATGTGGACCGATTTGCAGTATGTGCGATCATTGTCTCTTACCCTACGAATAGTTTCAACTCGACGATTCTGCTAAGCTACAAAATTGTGCCATTTTTCAATCAATAGAAGTTCAACGAAAGTATGCAGACCACTACGGAAAGTTACTGTTAAACTAATCCTTCCAATAATTTACATTAGTATTAACATGTCTTGTCTGGATTAACGCAATAACTTGCCATCACCCTCGTAGTTTTTTCACCGGTCGAGCATGTCGATTTTTATTCCGGTAAAGACAAAAAGAACCTGGCCAGATGCCAGAGTTTCCGAACGAATGTTTGCAGTACAAATGTTATTTTCAGTCACCAAAACTGTATATATACTGAAGATATAAAAAGCAGCAACGCTTCTTGTCAAACACTTATATATCCCGAATGATTTAAGACTTTTGGGCGGAGTTAGCTATAACCGTTAGCTGTGTGGTAAGCTCCGTTCGATATGTCGCTTCCCCTCACTAACATAGGTTTTCAGGGAAAAACATCAAGAGGAAAAAAAACGTTTCCGGTAACACAACAGTCCAGAGAGGGCAAGACAGCTGCATAATGGCGCTCATAATAGAGATATCGAATTTTTCATTCGACAGGAATCCAAGCGGCAAACCAGGAGCAAATACAGATGTACGAAGAGTGCCCTTTTGTTGCTATATCGAGATTCAACGTAGTTCAATAAGAACCCGTCGCATTCAACCATGCGTCGCGTCATATCTAGAGTTCGCTGCATATATATATGGCACTCTCGAGTGGCTTCTCATTGTCAAGCGCACCCTTCGATCGAAAACAATAATGGTGGGACAATGTCAGCACGTAACAAAAGAATAGTCTGGTTCGTTCGATATTTCAATCATTAGTACCTGCTTTATAACATTGTACTTTGCCAGTGTTTCATCCACTGTACATATATTGCGCCATTGTCGCTATTCAACATGCACAAAAAGATAGCTACGTCTAGAAAGCCAGCTTTTATGTTGCTCATTCACCGATGAGACTTCAGAAGACGGGGAACGCAAGAAAGCAGATATTCAGCGATAAGGCGTAGATTCTAAATAATCAGGTTAGGTATACCACATGTATGAGAGGAACAAACTGTTATATATAGGCTTTGATTTTCAATAGAGAGTTGTTTTTGTGAGAGGCATTAAAATTGAGGAGAAAAATGGTCGGAACAGATTTTTTATGGTCGTTATCACTTTGTCAAAATGAAGTTGGATAATTCTAATCAAAGTCAACTTTCTTCATTTATCGTTTATTCGCTATAATTCTCCCAGCGCGAAGATACACCGTTTCAAACAAAGGCAGGCGAATAGCCTCCGTATCGAATCATTACTTCATATGGCGTACTTCGTACTCCATGCTTCGAACGGCCTCGATTAGTTTTTAGTACTATTAGAATTACTTGGGCCATTCATTGCACGCATAAATCTAACCCCATACACGGGGTGACTTGATCGCGCGTAACCGAAACCATTAAACGCTTTTCATTTGTTACGGGGTGTACCAGACGAATATGTAGAACTATTTCTGTAAATCTCTCTAGCAGACGGCTGCTTCTAGAGCATTTACGACCAACTACACCTCCTATTGTCCTAGCACTCCGCTTTCCGCCTTATTTAGCATACTAATTCTTCACAAAGAGGCAGCTGAACGACATTGGATTTTGCTAGTTAAGCGGTGTATGGAAACAGGACGATTCTAATAAGAATGGAATTAATGAGAACCGCCAGAGATATGTTTCCTAACTAGACAGAAAGTTAGAGTTACAGCGAGTGTCAGGTACGTCCATTATGTAACTATATATCTGTTAAACATGAGTCTTTTTTTTCTAACGGTTAAGTAACAGTTAACCTATGCGGAGCGTTCTCGTGACGATTTTCACTGGGAAACTTTTGCATCAAAGGTGCAGACGATTGCTCGTAATATCATGCATCTGGAGTTGACTCTTCACAGTATTAACTATTGTATAAGTTTATTTTTCACCTAAATAATAAACTATTCAGGTATCACAAAATCTGCTGTTTAACTAAACACGCCAAGCGCTGCCGGATGCGGTTTGCAAGTAAACGATTATGCAAAGTAAATAATATATACCGAGCTAAGTGTACCTGTAATCTAAGCGCAATAGAGATTAGTTCATTATAAAAATACTAATGAGAGTGCATCTGTAAAAAACATAAGCGAGAGTCTCCTAACTAACATGTCTATAATAATATCTTGAATAACCTCGTCCGGTACTCTCCTTTGAGCCTAATGTTGAGGAAATGTGCCTTAGCGAATGCAATCGTTCACTAAGCTGTCCCTCTAACTGTGCAGTGGTAACGAGCCTGCCGACGAAAATCAAGGACACGTAAGGTATTCTCTCGTCGTTGTGCGTTGGGGAGCAGCAGTATAAAACTATTCTTATCGATAGTCCCACATGTAGAACTCAAAACACCAAAGCCGTCGTCTTGGCTCGTTATGACCAGGGCACTGTAAGCTGAAATTTACTTTGTTTTTAAAAAGAATCAAAATTATTTAGATGGTTGCATGATTAAGGTCCGAACTTCACATATCCCAAGTAACTGAACAGTCGCGGGTGACATACTTTAACGAACTTTTTTCTTAACTTGACATCTTTGCTAATGGACAATATTGCTGTGGCAGGCCACAAATACAGCTCACAGGTAAATGACGGGAGTATTGAATGAAATTTCAACTTTGAAATTAAGGATAATCTTAGCATTAACTTAAATTCGCGTGTTTGCCTCTTAATGATCTCTGCTTTCAGATGGGTTCTACACGTCCACTGTACAGATTCATAACTACTGCTAATTATTCATCACGTCTCCATATACCTATTTGTAAAGCATAAAGATATACGAGGTATGTTGGAGCTTCCATAAACGATCCAGCTCCTTTGATTTAATTTTCCTTCTATAGCTTCCTAGATTTCCTGGTTGGGTCTGCTTTTAGCCGTAAATTTTACTTTTTCCAGCGTTTTCGACTTAGCTCTCGACTGGTACTGTTTTCTACGACTCTGCCTATGCGGTGTGAGGTTGCAATTTCCTGCTTACGTTAGATTGTCTGGGCTGGATGTGGGCCGGCTCGACCAGGTGGCGCCACGGTCGTGTACGGGGAGAGGGCCCAATTGAGGAGAAGGAACAGCTCGGAAGCTGACGACCAACGTGCGGATCCTCGGCGTGAGCGAGTCCGGGCCTGAGTTCATGTCATGCGAGACGTACTGCGATCGCCACAGTCTGCGTCTTACGACGGCCTACGGGGGCCTAAACAACAATAACCATAACGGACACAAAGACCACCGATAGCTATCGTAGTACTTACTGATATTAGCGCAACATTTACAACGGCGTGAAAGCCAATTTCTCCGCTACTGCTCGGATACGGCGCATACATACAACGGGGTACTTGGCAGGAAGCGTTGATGTGACATCCTGCAAGTAGCTGCACAGTCTATTTCGGTTTGTTGTCCAACAAGCGTTATCATTTACTTGCTCCATAGTGCTTTTTCGTAGTGCTGATATATACAGCGATCGGTATATCAGCAAGCAACGCGTATATTACGACCGGCGTCCGGCCTGCTTTTTCTTGCAATCTGAGCAACGCAAAACCTCTTACCTGTGCGAAGGATAGGAGAGCTTCCTTAAACAACCTGCCGTAGTGAAACTCGTTCAGCTAACCCGCTGCTCTGTGCTAACGACCCGCCACGATTGTTTCGCCAACACCGGCAGCATCTGCCGTCAGTACTGCTAGAATTAGTAGCTGCTTTGTTGTTTATTAACCAGCCGTCATCGTTAATACCTCGCCGTGACGTCCGGGCGGCTACTTTCCAAGACTCGGCGCGCCACACGCTAGCGTCCAACGCGATCGCCACTTTCACGTGTGTCTCACCTTAAAAAGTTCGTAAGCGTGTCGACGCCTAGGGCATCAAGACACATGGTTGCCAAACCAACAACTACTGTGGTTAAATACAGCCACTAGCGGCAGCAGTGCTAGTAGCTGCAACGGACTTTAGCTAGGTGCTTCTTTCTATCATATACATATATATCCAGTGCAGCCGCCGACAGGCGCTCTCCGTTGAACCCCGCTGTGACAACGACACTCGGCGACGACACGAGTCATTCGGTGTTCGGTGTCTCGAGGCAGTTCTTTGGTGTCGAGTCGATACGGCCCGCTCAGCCGGCGTCGCTAAGGCTCGTCGTGCCGGCTGTCTTTCGTGTTCTATACTGAGGCGGTCATTTAGCCAGCAACATATTTAGCAGCGGTATCTGCTATGTAGTTTACGAGCACTGTTCTTGATTTGTGTCGTCGTATTTTGGCCGTGTCTTTTTTCGGCTACTAAGCCAACGGTTTTTAATGTGTACGGTCGACGGTGGCGGCAGTGGCGAGGTTAACCTGCGGCCTTGATCGTGGCTGAGTTTGCATACCGTTTGCGGTTGACGTCATTGTTAGTACCGTCAACTGATTTCATGAAACATCGTTCGGTCACATCCGGAGCGGCACATGATCCGAATCGACAGCTGTCCAATCACTAGGTTCTCTATGATGAAGAGCTGATTGGGTTACTGAATCAGCTCGATATGTGCTGGGTCTTCGACCCGCCTCAATGAGAGACGCGTAACAACATTGAGCTGTTGCAACGATCTGCAAGGCGCAACTCAAGGCTTGTGGCAAACCTTCTCAACAACCTAAGACAACGGGGAAGCTCGTTCTACATCGTCCGTTTGAAGTAATCCGTTCTTTTTTGACTTTTCGCGTTGCGTGTTTGTGTAGTAAATGTGTTCCTGTCTTTCTATGTGTTCTCGTTTGCGAGAACGGATCATCTGATCTCTAGCGTTATCGTTAAGGCGCGTACGTACTCTATTTGTATGCGTCCGCAGTCCAGTCGCAGCCGTATTCCAACAGTAAACGCAGAAGCGGCAAAAGCGAACCACCAGCCATTGGTTGATGGCGGCTTGTGGCATTGCGGTTCTCCAGGCAAGCGCGCTTGGTAAAACTAATATGGTATTGTGACCGCGGTGCAAGCAAAGGGAAACCGAGACAAAGAGATATCAAGAGAGAAAAACAACAGATGTGTGCGCAACATTCGAGAGCATTGACGCCATTTGCCGAAGCTGCAGGCGTTATGCTTTTATAGCCAGCAGACAGTGAACCACGGCGACGAATAGCGTCAGTTCATAAGGCTTTAACCAAAAGCAGAAGTAGAAAAATCACGAATCATCAGCGAGTCCCAAGAACGAATTCAACAGGGGATCAATATACAAGCGGGCACGCACGTAGCAAAAGTTCGTTATAAATTACTACCTATCATTTTATTACCTTGCTGGTTTCTCGTGCTTGTTAATAATACGACTTGTAATATCCTCATCTACGTGTCCGCAATTGAGCTTTGTTCGCCACTAGAATTTTTGCGTCCAAGTCTGTGACTAAGTTACTGAGCCGTATTGGTCACAGGGTTGGCAATAGGGTAAAGAGTCGTCGCAACAGAGCTCATATACTGCCGCCTACTGAGGGGTAATCGGGAGCCGAGTTAGAGCTCATCGCGTGCGCGAACCCCAATGATCCCGTCATCGGATGAGCGAATGGTTGCGGCTTGTTGCTCTGCAAAATATTCTTCTGCCGTGTTGTCGTAGATCCGATGCCGGTAATTACAGAAATCAGAAAAATAATAACAGCATCGAAAACCATAGTAGCACAGGGACAGTTTCGAAGGTCTCCAGCTTAGATGATGATAGACAGCATCCAAAGCTGTTTGCCCCACGACAACTGTAGGAACAGCTACAGCGACAACTACTATCTTTAGCAAAACTTCTACTGCCGTTTTTACCTATAGGGCCTTCGCACCAAAGTTTCTAGAGAATACTTGCCGCCAGTCGAATTCGAGGTGCAGGCAACAACCGAGAACAGCAAGAGTCAGGAAAGCGATAGGAGGGTGAAAGGAAAAGTCGGAAAGTTCAACGAATAACAGGAAACAGCTTGTTCGTTTGACCCGTCGACGTGATCGGGATCGTCTGGAGAAGAGAAACGCGCAGACGAAAAATCTGTTTGCTTTTTGAACGACAAGCAACAGCAGTGACCAACACGCATTTCTGGAAAAAGTCCACGCTGTGTAATGATGTACCAGATCCTGCAGAGCAGAGCTCGTTGTGTTATATACGGTAAAAAGTTATAGAGGGTGAAGGTGGTCGCAACCGTGGACCTAGCAGGAATAGCATTTCTAAGCAGACTTGTGGCAACTCAAGCGGGTCATCCTGTATTTCTTTAAGCCACCGCAAAGCAAACACGAGATGTGGGGTTGACGCAAAATCCCCTAAAAAAATCGAGACAAACAATGCGTGCATGTGCAATGCTTATCATTGGGCATTGAAAACAACGTAATTTTCGTATTTCGTGGCTTTCCGCAATATAGTGGCGGAATTGTCGTAGTAAAATTATGATAATGATAGTGTTAACTGAGAAATTATCGGAAAAGATAAAGAAGTAAAAAGAACGAAAAAACTGCGAAAAGAATACTCAAGCTTTTCAAAAATTTTAGTGAATTCTTTTTGCGCTGATAGAAGCAGCTTGTTGCTAGCAAAAGGATGGTGGGATGGTTTCGAGGAAAGTGTGCTTAGTAATTGTGGTCAAAGGACGACAGAGAAAAAGTGTCTTTTCCATCAACACAAAAGAAAAGTACCTCATCGACGAATAAAAAAATCAGTGTAATAGTGAGCGATATTGTGCGGTGGCGATACGTCTACAAAAAAAAAAGGAAACGAAAGGAAAGGAAAGGAAAATCAAGTTAGTTTGTTCCTGTTAGTGAAGTGTATTCGTGATCAGAAAGGAGAGTCAATAATAGTGGTGAAAGTGGAGTGTGAATGTTAGTGTGATTATGTTATGAGGCCATAACGATCGGTGGCCTGTCGACGGAAAGCCGGACTCGCTCGGACCTTCAGATCAGGGCAGTGGCAGGATGCATTTGCCCAGTCCCTGTAGGACTACCGCGTTCTGGATCGTCGTGAGCCTGCCGCTATGCACGGCCGTCTTCCGCGACCACAGACAAAGCAAGTATCGTAAGTACAGCCAAACAAAAAATGAGTAAAGGCGAAACTAAACAGACCTGCATAACTGCAAAGCGCCATAATAAAGCGTGCTCAGTTGTGGCGTGACAATGGAAGGTCATGGTTATAATATAGTCAAATAGGAGAAAAATTCGACCCCCGACGTTCCAGGTATGAAAAGCGCTGTTCGTTATGTCTCAACAATAAATACCTCCGTTGATTAAAATGGGAAACGCTATTTCACGTGAGGGTTGAAACTGCGGGGATTATGCATTATATTGAGGGACGTACGCGGTCAATTTGCGACGTTTGTGTCTGTCACCGCATCCGACCTTATTGTCTAAAAGCTCGTTTTTCGCTCCATTCTGGTCTAATTCGCGTTTTTATATAACTTCACTTTTGCTTAAATAATATACAGTAGTTACAAGCATGTGCTACCCACAATTGACTACCACCATATATCGTGCTTACAATGAGAACAGCGCCCCCATGCTGTTCCAGTCGTGGTTCCTGTTTCGTCCTGCTGGATTCTGTTCATTTGGGTGGCCGATAATGTATTTCTGTTTTTTGTGTCCGCAACGAATAAATAACGGCTATGGGCTACCGTCTATGGACGACGCAACACACTTGCAAGCAAATAATCGCCCAAGTATCAATGTTATCTTCATCGCTACATAACTAGCGAATGATTTCGTTGTATGCTAACAAGTAACAACAGGTGTCGCGAGGTCTCCAAATCCTATAACTATTTCTCCTAGAACAGTTTCGCCGTTGGCGTGTGCACTGCGCCTAACCTTATCGGTACTATAATTCTCTCTGTATCACTACTTGTTGAGGCTGAGACTCCTGTAACTGTTGGCATTGCTGTTGTGAGCGCAAACGTGATATGACGTGAAACACACAGACATACGTGAATTCTCTATTTGTAAAAGGCTAGAGAAAACAGGTGACGGCTGGTTATGGCTACTGCTTGCTTAGATACTTGCTTAAACTGAAATGAAGGGGCTGAAGGGAGAACACTGATAGCGTAGGAATCAATGGCAAGCCGCTGACAATTTTAGAGCATAGCCGTCGTCCTCGTCGCGTCTACGGCCGCGTACATTTAGCAGCATTTGACTAACGTAGCCACTTGTTTCTATGGCAGCTAGAACAGACCGTTCTAAAGGCTCAAAAGCGGCAGATGAAAAACTAGATCAAGCGAACAGTAAAATCCTACTTCGTTCGTATTAAATGATGCTGCTAAATGTTGTCAGTCGTCTCACTCTGATTTGCCTAAACCGTGTGAAAAGTAAACCAGCCGCTTGATCATAGCTAGCACGGTGTGTAGAAAGAAGGTCTGGGACGGATACACCATTCTATTTCGTTTCAACTCCTTAGAAGTGTTTAGCCGACTCTGATCGAAGGTAGCCGAATCAGTTCCAACATGCGAAAACGACGTATATTATTGAAAAATCATATTGTATATTCAGCAAGTAGTTGCTTTGTTAGACTGGCGCAGTGGTTTCCCGTAGCCCCTTCTGATTCCCATCTGCCGATCAGGTTTCCACGTATCACCATGGACCGCCATACAAACTCACTATAAGGGAGTTTTTCGACATCAGATCATACCACGATGTTGGCTATGGCGATACAGAAACTTACTGGCTTTGCCCACTATAGGTGAGCGTACAGGTCGATGGCCGTTGCGATGGGGCCTACTAGTTCTCTGCTATAGACTCGCAGGCCTTTTTGAGCTCTCTGCTGCTGACTAGGGTCGCATTACCTTCCGCTTGCTCTGGCTAGAACCGACCAAGCCGATAGTATTGAAAAGTAACGTTGTCGGCAATGAAAATGGAAGACAATATTAGATGCATTTGCCGACAACCAGCGACCGCAACGGAGCCGGTAGCCGGCCGGCAGTACGGTAGCAGCCGAGCTAAGAAGGCGACGAAATAAAGGAGAAACTATTAGTGAAGAATTGCATTGATGACCACGGCGACGACAACATCAAATAAACTCGTCGTGTCAGCGTGTTACAGCAGCGCGGCGTCTTGAACGAAGGAAAGATCGAACTGAAACCGACATGCAACAACGATGAGGGGACGGAAGACGCTGGCGCTAGTGGCAAATACGTCGAACTATAGACCTTAAATGTGGGTAGCTCGAAAGCGGCTGAACTTGAGACGTTAGTGGAAAGAACCTCTCTATCGTTTTAAAGCTATTTGAGATAGAAAAAAAAAAAGACGAAGTGGTCTTCAATGATAAAAGGAAGGAGAGGCAGGCGAATGAAGAATAGAGCAATATAGGTCATAGACGGAAGTAGACCTAAAGATAAGGAAGGTTGTCGATAAACGAAATTTGTTTTTGAAATTTAGATGTATACGTGTCTATAAGTAGGAGAACATAGCTCACGCAGGTGACGTATCATCAATTATGCGTTATATCGATGTTGGCGACAGTGCTACAGAGAAAAAAAAAGAAATCGCTGGCAGTTCCGAGGCGTGTGCAGATCCTGTAACCTAGAAAAATACGGGAGTGAGGTAGTAATGTTTAATAATTATTTGCACGGGCAATGAACTATTTTGTCGGGTAGGGTAGCGATGTAAGTAAGTTAATTTTCTAGGCACATGACTGATTCGCAAGGTGCTCGAGGCGGGTCCTTAAGATTTTCTGAGTGAACTATAGTGGATTGCTCGCACAGCGTTAATGATTGCTGCCATAGTTAAGCTGCAGAATTTTTGAATTGACCAACCGGACTTCTGTTAAGCTTAACATTATGATGCAAAACATTAGCGCGTCGTAAAAAAACTCAGAGTGATTTAATGTATGTAGCTCGGAGTAATCAGATAACAACCCTAAGTTAGTCTTTCCTGCTCTAGCTTCGGTAGAAGCAAAAGTCTGCGCAATAAAGTTTTCCCTAAAAAATCATCATGCTTTGTGATTTACTTATGATAATTTTACAAAAAAAAAACTAAACTTATACCAATGGGCTATAAACGATGGGTTATCTCCCTAGCATGGCAAGAGCCATTTGCAGCCGTAATTGGCATGGTATTTATACCGATTAAACTTAGCTGCATGGTGAGCGGATATTAATAACTCAAGCTTAACTTGAAAAACTATTACATTTATCTCGGCTAGCGATCGAACCCAAAAAATCGCCCGACTAGTTCTACTGAAACTCCCGCCTACCCAGCCAGTGCAGCCGTCAAATATTTACAAGACCGTTACTTTCTGATACGAAAATTCGCTGGCGAACCCAGTAATAATCACATACAACAACTTTACGAGGATGCATCATGTTCCAATCAGAAAAATTGGATCAACGTATTGTACGCATGAACTCTCATTGTGGTACGCATTTGTTGACTTTCTTAGTTACAGCCCCTTGCTCGTGTATTCTTGCCGCTTGCGTCGTTTTTATCCAACTTATCCCTAACTCAGTGTATACACTTTTGTAGCCGATGTTTATAACGCGTTGGCTGCCATCGAAGCAACGGTATTGTACACGCAACAGAAACTGCACGTAACTAACATAGAATCGAGAAGAATTTGTAGCAGCAGCGGCACAATAACCACTGATGTTCTTTTACTCTTTTTTTTTGTTGTTCGTAAACGGACGTGAAATCGCGCCAGAAAATTTTGACAAAAAAAGGATCTTTGTTTGGGCTTTCCTTTCTTGCCCCGGTGCTTTCGTTCCCGGTGTGAATGTGTGGAGTACGAAGACTGCGCTGTGTAATGTCGCCAAGTATATACAGGTACTGGAAAAATTAAGTGCTTTGAAAGGCTCAGATCCCCTGTTCTCTTTTTCGCTTTCTCTTCATTTTTGACGGGAGTGGTGGTAGTGATGTACATTTGAATTTTTTTTGTCATTTTGGGATTGGTAGCGTTGGTCTCGCACACCCGCTGGCTATCGAAACCGCTGCAGTTACGTCCGAACTAGCAAGCACTTCTTATTCTGAAGCGAACCTGCCGTATCGGAACGCGCTGTGCTGCTCCCGTTCCTTGAGAAGATTTCTGAAAGCGACTTCTCTCTACCTACTCGCAACGGCGCCTGTCAACTGCCCGTTTCTCCTGTCCTGACTCATATAATTCTAACCCCTGGCTCGGCTTCATTTTGAAAAGCTCTAACGACCAAAAACAGCCGGGGCACTCTACGAGCCAAATAGAACCTAACTGAGCTTCGCTCATCTCAAGACATCAATAAACATACACATGGACACGGGTTTACACAATCTGTGACCGCAATCGCTAGTTGGAGTCAGTTTTCATGAAGGCAAAGAAAACATTGCCCTATAATCTTGGCGCCTTATCCCTATAGATGTACAGCAGGGCTTGTAGATACCACTTTGTTGCTAGCGACAGCCCGAACGGGTAGAAGTCATAGTAATGTTACGAGGACAAGACGGAGTTCTACTTCAGATTTCACAGAATCAACAACAGCAAAAACGAGAGTCGCAACTGCATCAGTGGAAGCAACATCGCAGCCATAGGAAGCTCTATTGGGCAATTTCGTAATCGTGCTTGTTTCCTGTCTGTACCCGCTATACCGCTTCTGGGTTGGTTGCTAGACTGGTCGTCTTGACAAACAAGCTTCACGTAGCAATAGTAACAGCACTAGCAGTAGCAACCAATTGCCTTTAAGGCTTACAAATGAAGTAAGCTACATCCGAGCAAGCGGCCGCACGTTATCAAGACAGACCAATAACGATCGTTTCTATACGAGAAAATCAACGTGCCTACGTACAAGCCCCCTCAACACCTATCTCGCAAAGTCCCAGGGTAGAGCCCAATCGCGCTGCTGCTGGTAACAGGACTAGTTGAGTAGCTAGTTATACTCTAGCTATTGCGCCCTTAGTACAGCCCACCGTGTGGGCCTGTATGAGTTTACTATATAAGCTGTCAAAAAGGGCTGCCGAGCTGGCTACGTAGAAAACAACTGGAACGTGCGGGCGGGTATGCTGTCATTCGATCCGCTATACCACACAAAATAGATTCCTATCCATATATATATATATATATAT